AGTTCAATGTGACATCCCGTCATTACAAACTTACACGTAACCTACCACCATAAAAATTATTTTCTGATAATTTACAATTACAACATAGTAATTAAAATATGTTTAAGTTATAGCTTCGTTATCTCCGGAACTACAACCAATAACTCGCTGTTAACGATTTAAATAAATCATTTTTACGGACCTACGTCTTAGTTTCCGTTAATTCTTCACAAGACTGTACATCACAGAAATACTTTTATCAGTTCATGTCTGTTAAATTAAAATTTCTATACAAATCCTTCCTTTTTCTTTCTTCTGTAAATATAATACAGTCCGATTAACTTCCGGTGTGACGGGCGAGCGAGAGATCGCAGTCGGTGCACTCGAAGTTCTTCAGCCCACAGATTAGACCGCAGTGGCGTCTCAATTTGCAAGTGAAATGAGGACATTAAGATCGGGCGGAAGAACGTCGCAAGTGCCACGCTCCCTCGCACGTCGTCTTTCGATGTACGTGCCACTGTTTTGATCCTGGACCAACGGAGACGTCAACACATTGACGAGTGTGATAAATGGAGGTTGTGTTTATCTCAAACGCAGATGAACAACGTGTCTGTTGGCCTGGGTCACGTCTTCCAGTTTCTTGGCGCCAATCCAGGTTCACGCGCATTAAAACAGAGCGATGACGTATCTGACTACAATCTCTACCAGTGCAATGCGTGGTTTTACTCGGTACATCCATGTTAATTCCCTGAAAACGCCTTTAAATACACCGAAAATGCCTCCTTCCCGATATCCTGTATAACCATTCCTTCACGACATTCATAAGCCCTGAAGAGGGGGGCAGTATTTACCTCCGAAACATTGCTATCTATCTACCTACAGATTTACCCAGAAAATCAAGTTCTATATTTCCACCGCCGCTGGAACTTCGAATCGTACAGAAAGTTTGGGTTTCCACGGGTTGTGGCCGCGACCCGTCTCAAAAATATTAAAGCATTTTTCCAATTTCCTTCACATGGTAGAAATAACGACGGACAGAAGAGGTTTCTTTTCCTGGCGCGTACAGAAAAGTCTTGAAGCAGCCGAATTGAACGCCGTACAGCGTTTTCGTTTCAGAATCCTTTCAGAATTAAAATTAAAAGACGCCTGGCACGGTCGTGCTCAGCCCACTCACCTCACCAGATGACTGAATGTCGCTGAATAACTCACGAACCAGCGCATCCAGAAACTCCACTTGACTCCAGCTCAAATCCTCCCTTCATTCCTTGTAGCAGTTACGCTCATCAGAAAGATCGTTTCGAGAGATACGCTCACACACATTCAGTTCATTCCTTCTAGCACTTACGTTCATCAGAAAGATCTTTTCGAGAGATACGCTCACACACATTCAAAGGGGCTCCCCCCCTCTCCTGCACGTATAATTCGCAGTGTTTCCACACGTCTGACATCAAGAGCTCGACGTCAGAGGCCTTTGCTATCAAATTTCCTTATAATATGATATTTCCCTTAAACTAGTCAAAGAAATCGAAAGTTTCCATGACTACGGCCCCAGTCACAATGAAGTTTCGGCTTAGGGGGCAAGTTCATCATCGGATATGGCTTATTCAATGCCTCCGTGTGATTTGCGTCAGGAACTTGTTGATGGCAGTGAAAACAAGAAATACGTAAATATTTTGGGTTGAGAAAACTTTTTCGGAATACGAAATCTCCGGGCCGCCGGTATTACAGTAACCTGCTTGAGGTACGTCCAGGCCCACGGATTTTGCTACGACAAATTTCATAAAACTATGAAGACGATGATGAAACTCGAGATGTATTCTTCGTGAACTGCTGAACATGTTTACGTTATTCTTGGAAAATTTTACATGTTATGTACCAGGGAGTCTGCTGTTCTCTAACAGCGAATACATAACAAGACGAACAGTTGTTGTGGTTAACATTCTTTAAACACCGTCCGTCACTTTTGTGGGCGTAATGGTTCATGCTGAGTGACCGAGTCCAACGCCGAGCTGTTTCATAACCACGAGAAAAAAAGAGTCAACTTAATTAATATCCATTCACTTTCATTAAGTTTCAGTCCAAAGGTTTTAGGAGAACTCTTGCGACACCCGGTATAATTAATAAGCCGTATCGCTGGCAGCTCCGAGAGGCGCGTCCCTTGTGCGTAATCTTACCGTTCCTTATGATCCGGCACTGCGCTTCCGGGGACCCGGAACAGCTGTAGCGGCTGGTTACCACCTCACGGCGTGACAGCGTCTCTGGGGCCAGATGGATGCAGGGACAACACGAGAAAACCTGCTTGAAGCCGCGTCGGAACCTGAAACAAAGCGAGATCTTACGCGTCATAGCTTTCACACGGAGAAGAAGCCTTACTGATGAGCTGATAGTCGCTCAGACAGTTATTTAATGAACATTCTGTAGCAATACACGGCGCATGAAACGACTGAGCGGGTTGTTCGCTTTCTGGCAGGGACCAGGGGCGGATGCAGAGGGGAAGAGGGATAATTCCCGACGGTAAAAGCAGCCGGAGCGCTAAGTGACGGCTCTCTACTCCGTTTAAAACTGAACAGAAAGACTCTGTGTTAGTAGTGTGAAATGTCGACTGCACCACCGAACCCGGCAATAATCTCACAAGTTATTTACATTTGGCCACTAGGTAGCTCTTGCGACGATGTGCTCGTAGACGTTTTCACTGAACACAGCATCAGCGGACGAAGGAATTCACGATTATTTCGTGAACGGAAAATTATTTATGAGTTAAAATTTTGCAGGAGTGGGTGAAGATAATCGCTTGGCTACTTATAAGGTTCGAACTGTCTGGACATTTTTTTCTGAAAACGAAAAAAACCCGACCTAGGATATCCGGACTTTCGGCTGAGTTTCGCAGCGGAACCTCTTAAAAATCAAGTTACGACAAACTGTGGGGGCCATGACGTAGTCTGGAGGATTTTGGAAATACCGAAAATTAAATAAAAAGAAAGTTCATAACACTTTTCTTCGCCCAGTGAAATTGGCAAGTTGAGACAGAGTGTGCCAGGAGTTGAAGCCCTGAAGATGAAAAGATTGCGTCTCGCCGAAACGTCGGTATCTACCCACGGCATCAGAACCCAGAGGAGCAACATGAACACATCTCCGTGGAGTGCGCCCCGTCACCCGTCACGGGGAAACGTGCACTGAACACATTTATTACGTCCGTTTAAATTCAACGGGTGATGACTTCTTTCCTGCCTTAATCCCACGACTTTACGACTCTCTCTTATCTTCCGTGACTTGTGCCCTCCCTACAGAATCCCTCGTCTTAGTTTGCGCATTTCCTATTTGGATTTCCTTAAAATTACACAACTTCGTTCATCGAAACTCGCGGCCACAGAACATGGTCGCGTCATTACTTACATTTTATACCAGCCGTGTTACGAGTTACGTTAAATTCAGGAAAGTTCTTTCCTCCTACGTCGGGGCCATTTCCTCCGTAAGAACGAGCAGACGTTTAACGGAGCACGAAAGCATCGACCGGAATATTTTCGTTTCTGAGGCATCCGGTGGCTTGTTCACCCTGTGAGACACGAGAAAGGTTCCCAGGCAGCGCCCGCTCGTCCATCTCGTGCTGAATGTAAGGTGAATTGTGAATCCTGAATTAAAAGGGATTTGGAAGGAATCGATCGGACCTTCAAAAATTTGCTCAGAGGGCCTGAAGAAAAGTACGACAGACCTCGATCAGATATCTGATCTCCGAATCCAGACTTGCTACCCACAATATATCCAATAAAAGTCAAGACTTCAAATAACTGAAACTTAACAGCTGATAACTAATTTCGTCGAGAAGCAGGAAGTCAGCGACTCAGACATGAGAGCGCCAAGGTTCCTTCTTGCACGCAACTTGGGTTGAGTCAAGTGACTTGGGCGGTCTACGACGAGACGCGAAATTCCATGCTTCCTCCTGCCTTCGTAAAACCACCGTCGCCACTAACAGAGCAACGCCACGTTATTATCTTACGTCACCAAGTTGTTCCAAGGCCATAATTTGTTCGCAACAAAATTCTCAACGTTACATACAATGAAATGACCTTTGCTGTATAAACAACCTCGTCGAATAACACGCAAATCAATATTCATTTCATATATCAATGGCCGACGACAATGTTATCAGCTAGTCTATGCATTTGCATTGTCTCAACCCACATCACAATCTGCGCCATGCCCACCCCGGCGCTGCACGTCACTCTCAATTTAGACGCATATGCACGGGCTGGACTGGCGACCGCGAGACACTCCCTTGCTCTGAAAATAAGTCAACACAATGGGCAGCTCCTGTAATGCACTCTGTCGACTCCGAGGGGAACTGTTGACTTTGCATCAGCAAACAAATATCACATTTCAAACCGCCTTTACGTGGTCTTCGCAAGAATTCATAATGCGATAGATAGGGGTATCGAAAACCGCGAATTTGATACCCAAAACTAATCGCCCGACTGTTCTGTTCGTTTAACAAAGCTCTCCTAAATCCACGCGTTATTTATCTTAGAATTATAGGAAAACTACGAATGACGAACACGAGACGATGCGAAAGAAATCGGCCGTGGCTTATTTCAATGCGATATCGCAGCATCTGCTCGGATGGACTGTTGAAAACCACCACTTACACGGTCGAACTCAGGATCTTCTGAACACGAATCAGGAGTCTTGACGTCTGAACAGTGACGTCATTTAGTTTTAAAATCTGTACTATGAGCAGTCTCTTCTGTAGGTCTGTACAAAACTGAGAGGTTCAGCACAGAAAATCAATTTGCACATTGTACAGAATGTACAATGTACAATGTGGTCTAGCGGTCAGAACACTAGCCTTGTAAGCCTGGGGTCCCGGGTTCAATTCCCGGTGGTGCTCAAATTTATAACTTGTGTTGGGCAAGGCCGT